AATAATCTTCCGGATCATCGCGTGTAGAGTCAAAGGAAACAACAGCAACAAGCTTTTCTTTTTTCAATACTTTCCATTTTTGAACAGAGAGACAAGAACAAAGTGGAGAGGCTCCACACAGCGGACAGCAGAACAAACAAAGGCCTCCCAGCGCTGCGTCATGGTGCTGCAGAAAGGGTTAGAGTGACGTATGGAGGGTCGGAGGTCAACCAGCTCAGTCTCTCAGCTCTCGCCCTGGCCGAGGGGCAGGAATGGGTCCCAGATGTCAGAGTATTTGTGCAACCTGTTGGACTGAATGAATCTGAGCTGTTCCATTTGTAAACCATGACTCATGTCCGTCGTCCACCTCTGAAAGGAAGGAGAGGTGACCTCCACTCCTTAAGAAGGAGTGTCTTGGTTTGGGGCGCCGCTACAGCTCACCTGGTGGAGCTGGCGTCCCATGTACAGGCCTACAGTCCTGATGTGGAGGTCATGAGTTCAAATCCCACTCATGGCCCTTTCCCACACGTCCTCCCCCCATTCTCCTGTCTCTGTCTCACCGCTCTATCCAATGAAGGCACAAAGGCCAAAAAATAACTTTAAAAAGCAGCCGGGAGCCTCTGGGTGAGTTGAGAGCAATTGAAAATGACAAGTATAGGTTCTAATGGGAGGAAGTGTTTGTAAGCCTGGGAGTACCGGTCAGATAGTTTGGACCAGAATCCAGACAGCGAGGGACGAGCCCAGAAGGCCTGAGACAACGTGCACTCTGGTGCCCGTCACATGCTGCTGAGATGGAAATGGTTCTGATCCCAGTAGAGGAGACGTGGACGGCTTGACTTGAACCAGCTGCTGTCTGCTGTTGACCAAACAGGTCCGGACTGCAGACAGACTTCTGTCCCACACATCCTCCATCCAGTCCACACCCAGCTCCTTCTCCCAGGCCTCCTTGATCCCCACAGAGGAGGCAGCAAGCCTTTATACAGGGATCAGGATTTACAGGCACAATTAGTCACATCTGAATGCAGTTTTTGATTCAAGAGTGTGCAGCACATTGTGGCTAACCCTAATCCAGGCCTTAATACATACCAGAGTTCTTGTGGCTTTCCCCTGACCTCAAACATAGTTCAGTCCTCCAGTGGCTCCTGACAACTGCTACAACTCTGTCTTGTTATTTTAAATGCCGCGCTGTGTACACATCCTCACGTCTGTCCTCCGTCAGCGCTGAAGTGTTTAAGTGAAATCTCAAACAAAGTCGCTGAGCGCTGCTCTTACGTCTCTGTTCGGTGTCCTTGTGCTGCTGTGCTTTAATGGATTTAAGATGCAGCTGTTTACATCCAGCAGAGTCTCAGTGTGACACGACTACTGACAATATCTCCACGTCTGTGTCGCATTTATCACAAACTGTTTCTTTACTTATAATATCAGTTTAATCTATGGAAAATGTCAGATAAGGAATAATGACTGAAGCACCAGAGCTGCAGGGCCTCTGTGAGTCTGACCCTGAATAACCCCCGTTACCCATAAACCCTCATTAGTCAGCACTGGTTAGTCGTCTGTGGTCTCCAGCTTTAACGAGTGTCTGAGCTCGTTATTCTGCTGCAGCGTGAATCTTTCTCCGTGCAGATGCAACAAGAGGTTGTGGAGTGTTTCTGCTGCTGGACAGCTTGTTAGTTCATCACAGGGCGAACACACTCACACCTCTGGCCTCCAGCTAACCTGCCCTGGTATGCCTGGGCTGTGGGAGGAGGCCCCTGGAGAGAAAACCCAGACCAGGGATGCAGACTCCTCCCAGAGCCCCACCATGCCGCCATGCAGCTCTGCCTCAGCCCACCCTGCAGCTGTTTGTCCTCGTTTCCCTTCCTGAGAAATGCCCCATGTCCTCTTTTTGGTTTTTTCTGGTCTGATGTTTGCCTATTGGAGTGTTCTTGTGTTCTTCATTTAGACAATGTTTTTAAACTTTTGGGTTATTTCGAGGTGTACGTTAAAACATTTAGGACTTTTCGGACACCACCGCATGTCCTCGATAAAGAACAAAGACAAAGCTGAGTCCAAACTGCCATTCATGCTCTGTATCATGAACTTTCTCTGAAACGGACAGAAGCTCAGATGAATTAGACGTCTGTCTGTGATCAGTCAGCTTTATAACCTCCTGACTGAATGTGCAGAAGTGAAAATCAATCTGGTTTGAACACAAACACTCCTCTAATCATTCTCTCTCAGCTAGTTTGAATTTTTGAGCTCATTTCTTGTCAGATTGCACAAGCAGCAGGCTGTGGTGGTTCAACGGGAGCAAAACTTCCCCTGTAACAGGAATCCAGCTTCATTTCCAATCTTCTGACGGAAAGTGTGAAGAAATTCAGCTCTGAGTTTCTGTCCTGCAGCCTATCTGTGGACACACAGCGATGACAAAACTCTAACGAGGTCAGCTTCATACATTCAGAGACATCCTCGTGTCAGAGTCGTCCCTTCATATGGAGGAGTCATATAGCAGGCGTTCCTGGACGTGGGCTGATGTCCCTGCTTCACCTCGGCCTAGTTTCCTATTTCCCTGCTGCACTGTGTGGATGACAGTCTGAACATGACTTATTGACTCCTGAGCTCTGAAACAAAGATCTTTAAACTGTTGTCCTCCTTCTTGTTCATCTCTGACACCATCCTGCAGAAACAGTTGATCACAGCTACTTTCTCAGACTGATTTTATATCTTCTACTGCACAGACATGCACACCACTCCCTACATGAGAGAACTGATCAGCGTTATGGACATACAGATAACTGACATGCATTCTAATGATACTACAGCCATGCGTTATTAGATTATTACTGTGTCCTGCTACTCAGGAAAGATGTTTTTTAACTCCTGTGTTTGCATTGAAAGTCGTTCCTTCTGGTATCTAAAGCGCTGTGACTCCTGGAAGCCGAACACACACTGACAGCCGGAGTCTTCTTCCTCCACAGCGCTCAGGTATTTTAATGAAAACCGTCTGACTGGCTGCTGTGGAGCGAGGCTGCCCTCTGGTGGCAAATACAGTAACTGCAAAAAAACAAGAGGCGAAAAAGCCTCCATTCACCTGAGTGTTAAACACAAAACAGGAGGGAATGCTGGTGAAGGAAGCCAATCAGAACCAAGCTTCAATGATGAAGTAGTGTTTGAGAAAGAGGAGCACATTGCTGCCAGGCAAAGAACAGACTGTGTTTTTCCAGTATAAGAATGTTTGAGAGCAGCTTCACAGACACATGTGGACCTGAACAGATGTTATTTTCAACACTGCCCTTCTCATATGTAATGTTCATCCAGTGGTTTCTCAGAGAGCCTCCACTCTGCAGGCAGATCGGTCTCCTCCAGCTCCAGGGGCACTTCTGTCATTTCTGTTCTGCTCTTTTGTACCAGACAGCTTGCAGTAACCTGCAAGTCATCTTGCACATTGCTCACATTGTTCTCTCTCTGAAACCGGACAACAGCATCTTAGTTATTCACTTCCCACATGAGTGAAACACAACCAGCTTTCTGGGCTGATGCATGTTTCCCTGCATGTACACTGGATTCCAGCTGTGAAAGCCAGCAGGAGAGACTTTCTAACATATTATTTCACACACACAGAGGACAGTTTTGTTCCAATTGAACTCAGTTGAATGCAGACACAGGTCCGCTTCTACAGTGTCTGCATCACTGCCCATGTTAGCACCGCTAGCTGGAGCAGCTCAGCGGGTGCACTGAGACGTTCTGAGAATAATTTCACACCTTTTTCACCCTCAGCCAAAAGAACTTAGTTTTTTTTCTACCTTGTTCTCTGTCTGCTCTCACTTGACCTGTCGGATCACCACACTGAGAAGAATTCCCTCAAGTTCTCCAAGAATGTGTTTATTAAAGCAACAACTGACCTTCAATCATACAGAAAATAGAGTTTTACCCAAACTTGTAAAAGACAATGTTTGAACTGTTATCATTCTGCTTACATGTGGCCCTCCAGTCCTGAGCTTCTCAGTCAGCCCATGCTTTCCACATGACCTACCCACGACCACTTTAAAACACACATCTTACAAACACTTGTGAGCCAAAGCAACAATGGCAAAAGCGCTATTGATTTTAAATGTGTCTGAAAAACAAGATTCAACGTTTGTTAACGAGACTCAGCGTGTTGTTTTCCTCGGATGGACAAACTGCAGCCAGTAAAAAGCCTGACTGCTGAGATTTCCAGGAACTAGAGAAACAGAAAGCAAGAGAACAGCAGAGCCAGGAGATGGTTGGAGGAGTTTGTCATGATGAAGGAATGTGAGCACTCCTCGACTTCCTAAAAACCTGCTGACACATGTAGCGTGTGTTTATCTGTTTCCAAATGAATAAGAATATGTGTCAGTGAACATGTCAGTGCATCAGTCCTTGTGTCAACGTGGATCAGACAGGCACACTGTTTGGTCCTGGTGTCAGTAGACCTGTGAACTCTGGAGGGATGTTCTGATGTGAACCATGAAGCTCTGATGAGTTACACCTCAGTGTATGTGGGGGATTGACTGGAAGAGACTGGACCAGGTTCACATGTACCTTTTACTGTCCGTCCTGTAGTGTGTTGACAGACCACAGTGATAGAGAGGAAGAGACGCATCGCACAGACAACAAACCAAAGCACAAAGCTGTCAGTGGCTCACACAGCAGACAGGCAGGAACAACAGGAGCCTAAACATGCTGGTATTTACAGAGAGGAGCTGTTTGTACTCACAATAAAATATAAATTGTTGGTATTTACAATAAAACAGAACGCTGAGAGTAAAGAATAGAAAAATAGAGTTTGATAAAGTACAAACAAAAACACACAAAGTAGTATAAATAGAGGAGTAATAGAGATAGCAGGGCTTATTTATGATCAGGAGTAGTTATGAGCAATAAAGAACCAACAGCTAAGCGCATGCCCCGCCTCGTGTTTCCATACGGACGTGTTTAAGCGACGCACAGACGAGAAGCTCCGCCCTGCCGTTTGTCCCGCTGGTTTTATATCTGGACTCAGGATGTGTTCCTCACAGTTCGTGGGTCCGGACCAGCTGGAGGAGACACCGAGCGGCTCCAGTTCGTCTTCTTTCTTGAAGTGTTTTGTTTCGGATGTTATTTAATGTGACACCGAAACAAGAGAAAGTTCGTCCGTAGCAGAAAAGTTCCGCCCAACTCACCAAGTCAGCGATTAGTTTTATTTCTTGAACCCATGGCGCCTGAAGGAAACGGTATGTCAGGTAAGCTCCCTCAAATACACAATAAATACACAATAAATACACAATAAAGTACCGGGACGGGACTTGTAGTGTTTTATGGCCGCAGCTTCACGTCTGCTGCAACCGGAAACACGTCTGTGCGCCGTTAGCTCGCATTTAGCTCGTTGTTGTTGTTGTTGTTGTTGTTGTTGTTGTTGTTGTTGTGTCTGAATAGCTGTTGTTTTTCTGCCTCCACAGACGAGAGGATCGGGACAGCCCTGATCAAACAGTGAGTTCCTTTTCTTTCCAACTCTTTCCTCTTTCTTGAGACGAAACTGAATTAAAGTGAGTTCGAGTCAGTGAATCAACAGGTGTTAGTTAAACCTCAGCTCCATCAT